CCTTATCAGTTCATGGTTGCTGCGACGTGTCCATTTAGTTACTATTGGGCATGGGGAGAACTCAATATGTCCTTTGGATCACTTTAATGCCCAACCCATTTTTTCAAGCCCCCACATGTTGCTGCAGCAACCATGCCTCCTGATGATCACAGTTTCCCTGCACCTATGGCAACTATTTTCTTTGCTGGTGGTCTATTGCATTAGGAGCTAAAGTGACCCAGCAGCAGCTGGAACTTTGTTTAGTGGGATTCTCACTTTTCCCCCTGGTAGAAGGGTTCCCTCTCTGGAAACCAGGACCTCTTGACCCATAAAACCTAAAGTGTGAGGTAGAGAAGCAAACATTCCCTAGTGGGTCCCTAGGAATGTTTCTGAGCAGGATCTCTCTGATTCCATGATTGAATTCCTTAACCTAAGTATTCAGGCTATCAAGGCACAACACCATGTACTGGCCTTTGGTGTAAGATGTATGCTGAGTATCTCCAAGGTGTCATCTCAAAACTGGAACACAAGTTATGTCTCCAAAAGGCTGTTTCATCACTCTGTCAGGTTGGCAATATTGGAGTGTGTGATATATGATAAGGCCTCTAAATCCTGTGGTTATCTGCCTATAACACCTCAGCTCTTTTGTAGTAAAGTGCATCCCTTAGTCTGAGGTGAAGGTATGTATGGTATGTAGGATCCCACATCAGTATATCAGGCACTTTGTAAGTCTTTGGATAGTGGTGCTGGCTGGAGCACTGTGGGTAGTAAAGGCAAACCCAAGCTGGAATATGCATCCTTTCCAGTACACATGAAACATTGCCTTTTCCAGTGTGCGAGGGGTCTGATGTAATCAGTTTGCTACCAAGTAGCTCATTGGTGAGAAGGATGGTACCATCTTAGGGTTTCAGTGTTGATGTCTATGGCTGGTATTTTACAGCAGCAGTAGTTGGATCAGCTTTGGTGAGAGGGAGCCCGACCTGTGGACACAAGAATAGCCTCCAACTCTGCTGACGTAACTTCTGCTTCTGAGAACATGCAAGGATAGCTGAAGACAGAGGCTGGCTGACAACCATTGGCTGAGTCATTCTGTCTACTTGATTGTTTGCTGCCTTCTCAGAGGTGTGGTCAAAGGTCCTCACATTTGTGCTCACTCCCATAGGGCCATCAAAGTATTTCTTCCCTAGACCTCCTCGTCCTTAGTCTTCCACTCTTGCTCACTCTAAGTCTGTGAATTTATGTATATACTTACCTCAGGCCCCTTTCCTTTCCACACAAAATAGGCAACTGGGTGTTGTTCCCATTGAGAGAATTTCCCCTGAGTGGTCTGCACTGCAGCATCAGTCCATGTCTGCTTGTGCTCACATACTGAGCTGACTTACCTATGACTGGAGCTTGGGAATTTTCATCCTCCATCAGCTGGTCATCGGGAACCTCCCCATGTGGTAAGAGGAAGGCATTAGAGCAACAGTGGAAGGTGACATGGGGATCTGGGACACTTTTCATGCAGCTTACTTGTGACCTATGGATCAGCTGGATCTTAAATGTACCACTTCCTTTTATTATAAATTGTTGGTTGGTCCACTGGATCTTATGGTAAGTTGAATAAAGATTTGAAGACAGTGATGGAGTAAGTCATGTGGCTATCTAGGAGAAAATCATTGCAGCTTTAAAAACCAATGAAGAGACTCTTTATATTGCTACTGGAAAGATCTGCAAGATGCTTAGTTGAGTAAAAAAAAAAAGCCAAGAGTAAATAGACACTGTTTAAAACAAGAAAATGAAGAAACTGGCACAATTTACCATTTAGCTATATGGTGGTAACCACCAAAGGAACTAAAAGTAGAACTAGTGTCAGTGAATTCATCTGAGACGAGGGATTGGTAGGTCAGAAAATGGCCAAGAACTGCTACTTTTCACTCATTAACTCTCTGTACTGTTTTCACTTTCTTTTTCTTTTTGCTGTAGACATGAAGCCAGAGGAACATGTTATAAGGACTGAGGGAGAAAGCTGCAGCAGATGAGATAATTTTGGAAAATGTTCCAGGTCAGTTTGGTGGGTTTCTCTGATACTCATGCTACAGTTACTGGTCCTGACCTTTCATTTCAGATTGGCTATTCTTTGAATGTCCCATCATGACAATTAGGATTTATGGTAATCCCTGGTGCCTCCTTCTCCATCCATTCCCCACACAGTAGCATGGATGTTACAGATTCAAGTCTCAGTGCAAGTGCTTCCATTGATTTGCTCTGTTGGGAGAGCAAGCAATCATGCACTTACAAATCTTTTTATGGTACCTAGGGCAGTGTGCAAGCGCCATGCAGCAGGGTATACTACAGGAATGTGGAAGAGGCACCTCTGGTTACACACATGTAAAGCATAGTCCATGTGAGGGTATTCAAACCTTCTGCCTGGGATGTCTTTTCCTGCAGCCTTTGCTGGGCTGTCTCCATCTTATCCTTTAGGCCCAGCCTTTATTGACACTGATAGAAGCTGGCTTGCCATTCCCCTCCCTCTGCCTGCTAGGCTCTATCTCAGCCTTTTATTGCCTTCCAAGTGTCTTCATTTATACTTATCTGTTTACTTATTTTTGGCAATATCCCCTATTAGAATCTAAGCTTCACTTCAAGTTTATAATTTAATTAATATTTGTTGAATGTGAACTTGAACAAATTACTTAGTTTTTGGCGCCTTCCATTTCACTCATCAGCGAAATGCGAGAATTTAAAAAAACATTGAAAACATTTGAATTACATGATTAAATGCTGAACTCTTTTTGCATTACTTATGTTTAATACAACCCATCCATAGCAGTTAAAACTTTAAACAATTCACACTAAATGTTTTCTAAAAAGGTTCAAAAAATGAAACTGAAGTAATTTAGAGTTGTTAGAAGGAACAAATTTTATGTGTGGTTGAAAATGTACACAGATATGTTTTAGGATTAGACTTAGCTGAAAGTGGCAGTAAACCCCAAATAATGGCTTCAATTTATTTAATTTTCATGTAAGTGGTTTAGGATCTTGCTCCATGGTTTTAGACATCCAGGCTTCTTACATCTTGTGTCTTTGTTATGTTTTCCCTCCCTATTCAAGGCCATCTCCTTCTCTATGATGGTGCTCCAGTTCCAGCCATTTCTTTTCCCCTACAGCCAGCAGGCAGGAGGAAGGGAAAGTGGAAGGTCTTGTCTCTTTTGTTTTTTAAGGTCATTTCCTGGAAGTTGCATCCAATATTCTTCCTTTCACCATATCATTCAGAACTTAAGTCATATTGGTACACCTTTCTTCAATAGAAATGTAGTCCCTATTCTGGGCTGCTAGGTACTCAATTAAAATTAAGGTTCTATTACTATAAAAGAAGTATAGAATGGTTGTTAGGGACAACTGGCAGTATTTGCCATGATGCATGCCTTAAAATCATGTGTCCTTTATTTTTTATGCAACAAGTTTTGGTTCATTGGAAATTCTTTATGGCTACTCTGCTACATAAAAAGTAAGTTCCGTAAGAACACTGAAATTTCCATATGTACTTTATGGGGTTGCTTTCCTACATTTCCTAGTTTGTGATTTTATTTTAGAGCCTGTTTTACATTGTGTTTGACAATACTTACTGTAGATGTAATATCTATCAAAGTATAGTTGAACCATTTTTAGTCTTGGCATTTAACTTTGTATAAAAGGTTGTTTTCTGCATTTTGCAAGCTTAGGAATGCTAATCAGGGTAGGCTTACATCCTCTCCATACCAATTGTTTTGTTATTATAAAATTCATATTGCTATTTCACTTTATATTACAAACTACAGTTACTATAGCTACTATAGTGTTACAAACTCACTCTTCTCATGTTACAAAAATAAGAATGGAGATAACTTAGTTTAATTGTATTTGCAATTTTTCTTTATATGAGCATGTTAACTATGGTTTCTAACAGTATATTTCTTTTATTTCTTTTTAAAAAATATATTTTTATTGATTTCAGAGAGGAAGGGAGAAGGAGAGAGATATAGAAACATCAGAGTTGAGAGAGAATCATTGATCGGCTGACTCCTGCACACCCCACACTGGGGATTGAGCCTGAAACCCGGGAATTGAACCGTGACCTCCTGGTTCATAGGTCGACACTCAACCACTGAGCAACACTGGCCAGGCTCTAACAGTATATTTCACTATCATTGGGAAAATTGAAACAGTCTGAAGTAATTATAGTATGCCCACAAGGAGTAATGAATAATGTCTTGTTATTGAGAGCAGTTTCTACTTTTCATAAGGTAGATAGTAATTCCAACTAGTAAGGAGTGTGTCCTAGGAAATCTCTAAAATGGGGAGTGGAGAGGAGACCGTGCTGGGAGGCAGTCATTTCCCACCCTGCTGCTGAGTCCCCGGGAGCGGGGCTGTGGGGGAGAACGATGGGGTGGGAAGATGGCTGTGCACCCCTGGATCCCGTCCACTCTTGAGGACAGACTGCATTCCTGCCTGGGGTTCCACAGGATACCTTCACGCCCTTGTTTGCTCAAGCGACCAAAAGAAATCCCACTAACACAGACGGTTACGTTTAATTTCCTCCAGCGAAAAAGGAAAGCTATTTCTTCACGGAGTTTTAAACATGAGTCTGCATCCATACGACTGAGGCTGAGCAAACTTAGCTACTAAGGGACGCCCTCGCGCCCCCCTTAGGTTTCCCGTGGGCGGTTGGGCCTGAGCCGGTCGTTCCCATCACTTTATTGAGGGTCAGAAGGGCAGCGGTCATTAGTCCCTTCCCTCTCCAAGGTGACTCTTCATGGCACTGGAGCTGCTGGGAACATCTCAAGCCTTAGTGAGGCCGATGCCATGAGACTTCGCCTTCCTAAGGACCCTAAACAGCAGCCGACAAGCATCTGCTGCACCCTTGGATGAAGGTGGTTGTCTCCGCATCGCCTTGGAACTCAGTTGCATCAGCGTTCCTCGACCTCTGCCATTGTTTCGTCTCGTGGGCCCCTTGGAGGGGTCGCCCGTACCCCCGCACCATCAGATCCCAACCGCCAGGAAGCCGGCGCCATCATGCCCAAGAATAAAGGGAAAGGAGGTAAAAACAGGCGAAGAGGTAAGAATGAGAATGAATCTGAAAAGAGAGAATTGGTCTTTAAAGAGGATGGCCAAGAGTATGCTCAGGTAATCAAAATGCTGGGAAATGGGCGATTAGAAGCAGTGTGTTTTGATGGTGTAAAGAGGTTATGTCATATCAGAGGAAAACTGAGAAAAAAGGTTTGGATAAATACCTCAGACATTATGTTGGTTGGTCTGCGAGACTATCAGGATAACAAAGCTGATGTAATTTTAAAGTACAATGCAGATGAAACTAGAAGTCTGAAGGCATATGGTGAGCTTCCAGAACATACTAAAATCAATGAAACAGGTACATTTGGTCCTGGAGATGATGATGAAATCCAGTTTGATGACATTGGAGTATTTGTTCCACATTGACGATATCTAAATTGAACTTAAAGTTTTGGAGTATTTTTCCGTAGTTTGGGTTTTGGCCATCACCTGTCAAGAAGACTAAAACTTCAGGATAATTGCAGTTTGCTAACACACACTGATTTGTTTTCATTGTTTTAAAGTATTTATTATTATCTTTAAATGAGCTGTGAACACTTTATTCTTTTGATGTACTGGAACTTAGGAATAAAAGATCACAAGGTCTGCTGTTAAAACATAGAAAGGAGAGGGGGAAAGAGAGAGAATGAATAAAGTAAATGTTTCCAGTTAATAGATGTTTTGACTAAATTGCTTTATCTTTATGGTCAGTGATAAGTCCTAGTTCCAAGTAATTTTTTTTCAGTCTTTCTGTATGTTACCTAGATATTCTCTTTAATTTTTGATAAAAATTTGAGGAAGTTAGAAATCTACATTTGAAGTTAAGAAAAGGGGCTATTTTTTAATATTTCTGTAGCTGGGTACTGTATTTTCAAACTATGATAACATTTTTTTCATCATTTCATGCTGTCATAAATAACTAGCATTTACAAACTGCTTATTGTAGAACATAGGCTTGAGTGGCAATTTTTAATTTATAAGATGAGTAGTTGCAAAAATTCAATGCTAAATAGTAACTCAAAATTGGAAGTACTGATATACTAGTCGAAAGTGCTTTTTACTTAATGTGTACAAAATTTCTTAAACAAGGCAACTTTTAATGGCAAAATAAGGAGAATAGTTTGTACTATACCAAAAAGTTGTTAAAATGTGTCATTTTATTTTCAAAACTCATGTGTTTGTGACCTATAGTTTTGGGCTTTATGAACAATTAAATTACAATGTATAAATGAAAAACTAATTTTATAATAAACTGGGACCACAGCTAAAAAATATAAGAAAAAATAAAAAAAAATAAAATGGGGAGTGGAGTTTGTAAAAGCATATTTATCAGATGAGAGTTCTTCAAATGTCTGTGTGAGGAGCTCTGTTTTAAAAACATAAACAATGAAAGATGAAGCACAAAAAATATTTCTTTGGTTGGTGAGGATAGTTGTGAGATAGTGTCTTTTTTCCTGTTAGTGATTCCTATTAGTGATTTGAGATTTTACATTATGTAAAGGAGTAATGACCTTAGGGTTTAAAAAGGGACTAAATTAGTCTTTGGTTATCTTGGTGTTGATTAAAAAATTACTCATCCGCCCTAACCAGTTTGGCTCAGTGGATAGAGCGTCGGCCTACAGACTGAGGGGTCCCAGGTTCAATTCCGATCAAGGGCATGTACCTTGGTTGTGGGCACATCCCCAGTGGGGAGTGTGCAGGAGGCAGCTAAATCGATGTTTCTCTCTCATCAATGTTTCTAACTCTCTATTTCTCTCCCTTCCTCTCTGTAAAAAATCAATAAAGTATATATTTTTTAAAAAGTAAAAAAAAAATTATTCATCCCTGTAAGAGCTTTTCTGTACTACACCAAAATGAAACACTTAAGAAAATTTATTTTTAGTTTTACCTATGTCATCAAGAGTAATATTCTTTGAAACTCTGGACACTGTCTCTGCTTTTAGCTCTGCTGAATCCTCAACTGCACCTCTTCTTTGTGGTTGCCTACTTAATGGTATTACCTTTTGGAATTGACAGTGGTAAAGTGTGAGTTATTTACTCTCTGTGGAAGAGTTGTCACCCATGCAAAGAACTTCTCCCTTGGGCAGTGTTTCCAGAATGTGTCTTTCATGCCATCTTCATGATTTTCCTGTCATCTGTACTATTATTTTTCTTTAAATGCACTCCATTAAAATTTTTTAAAAATTCATTAAAAACAACAACATTATAACTCCAGCTGGTATTGCTAAGTGGTTAGAGCATTGGCCTGAGCACTGAAGGGTCACAGGTTCAATTCCTGGTCAAGATCCCTGGCCTGGTTGGGCCACATGTGCGAGGCAACCAATCATTGTGTCTCTCTTGCCTTGATGTTTCTCTCTCTTTCCCTCCCCCTTTTCCACTCTCTCTAAAAATCAGTGGGAAAAATAATCTTGGGTGAGGATGAACCAAAAAACAAAAATAAAAATAAAAAACAAAAAACCCTGTTATATTATTACTACAAGTTAAAGCTACTTTTAATTGTCACAAAGATGACTATAGTAATAAAATGAAACAAAAACACTCCACATAGTCATTAATACAAGGCAAAGAAAGACAATAATGTCAAGTTATAAATATAATTGATTTACAAAATACATACCTAAAAGTAAGTTCTTTGAGAAGAATGGAATTTTTTGAGCAGTCAATAGTAAGGGGGATAGTAGGTTTAATGTCACTTAGTTTAAAACAAAGTTGAAGTTTTACTTCAATAGTATTGATACTGTTGTAATTAACCTGGGTGAAATATGGAAGGTATTTGCTTGTCAGTCACACCTGGGAACAGGTCATTGGCCAGAAATGGTGTGGCCATTGCCAGTGTAGGAAAATTTAAGATACTTAAACTTCTAAACAAAGGAATCTTTCTCTTGTCTCTGGCACTCCTGGCTGCGGGACTCTCCCGCTCCTGCATTTGCCCACGTGGCTTGTGGCCATGTGGGGCACATACAATGGACTGATGGACTGTAGTCAGCCTGATGTTACATCAGCCCCAGCTCCACCATGGAACAGAAACTTTGAACACTGGCTTTGCTTCTAGCTTTACTAAATCCTCAGCTGTACCTCTTCCAGGACTGGATTAAGGGAAATGAGACTTTAGAAACTGAGGGACTTAATTCCATGCAAATAAATATCACTCATCCTTCCGTGCGAGTCTCAGAAAATTATTTTTCTTGAGATATCGTAAGGACCCCGCCCCCGGCACTCACTTCCACTGGTGGACACCCCACTTCCACCGATAACAGTATTAGTTTTTTATTTTGGTGTCAGTTAGCACTGAGAGTGTCACTCACAGGCATATATGGTCTGGAAGAGCCAAGGATAATCAGTTGCATTTTCTGATAAAATGATATGTGCTTATAGGTACAAGAGCTCAGTAACATGAATGGAAGTACTGTATGTGAGGATCTACATTAGACATCTAGGTCATCATCCTAAATAATGCTTTCATGAAGTTAAGAACATCAGTTACTAAAGATCAGAACATTCATGCCAGGCCAGGGCACAATGCCATGTGCAATTTGAAGACGATGGTTTACTGCAGTCACAACATCTGTCTCATTTTAAGCCACAAGATTCTTGGGTGTATTGTACTAGTTACAATTTTCCCCAAGATACATTAAAATAAATACACAATTATTTTTTATAGGAGTTTCTTTCTTTCATTATTAAAAAATACATCTTTAGCCGAAACCGGTTTGGCTCGGTGGATAGAGCGTCGGCCTGCGGACTGAAGGGTCCCAGGTTCGATTCCGGTCAAGGGCATGTACCTGGGTTGTGGGCACATCCCCAGTAGGAGATGTGCAGGAGGCAGCTGATCGATGTTTCTCTCTCATCGATGTTTCTAACTCTCTATCTCTCTCCCTTCCTCTCTGTAAAAAATCAATAAAATATATTTAAAAAAATACATCTTTATTGATTTCAGAGCAGAAGGGAGATGGACAGAGAGATAGAAACATTGAGAGAGAATCATTGATGGGCTGACTCCTGCACTGCCCCTACTGGGGATCGAGCCTGCAGCCTGGGCATGTGCCCTTGACTGGAATCGAACCTGGGACCCTTCAGTCTGCAGGTTGATGCTCTATCCACTGAACCAAACCAGCTATGGTGAAATACACAATTATTAAAAATATTTTCTGATATAACTCATAACTCAAAAGTTGCCCCTTTTCATGTTGTTCCTGAGGGAAGAGGTCCATGAACATTTGACTCAGGTGACAATCTGTTTGTAAAAGAGGGTTGATTTTAAAAACTGTTAAGAAATTTTCATTTACACCAAGGTCTTTATTTGCATTTTTGTGTATAAAAAATTTCAAAGAATGGTATGTATTTTAGAATATTTCAGAAAAAAAATTTGAAACCTATCCCTAATGTATTTTTTGTAAACTTCACTTTTTCTCACTGCAGAGGCAGATACCACATTGATATTTAACAAAGCAGTGGAAGTTGTTCCGGGAAGTGTCTGGGAGACTCTGTCATTGAATATTACTTTTTATACAAATAAACCATTACTAACCCAGAATTAGGGATCTAGCTGACTTTCTAGAGTGGTATTAGTCTTCTAAGGGCACAAAAAAGACTTTAAAACTTTCCAATTTAAAGTTCATAATAACTCTTAGAATAAAAACAGCTGCTTTAAAATTCTACTGCAAGGGCTAGAAATGAGAAACTCTCCTTCAGCTCTCTGAAGATCTTGTAAAAAATCACTTGGCTTTGTCATTCCTAACAATAAATACCTTCCAATAAGCATGGTTAAAATACAGATTTAAAATAGGAAAGCTATAAGGCACTGGATTAATTGATTTCATGTTCAGACATACTTTTATTTGAAAAGAATCTCAATTTTTTTCACCAGGGAAATGTATTTTGGATGTAGTCTCCAAATATTGTTTTTGAGCTCTCTAATTCTTACAATGTTAAGATTTGAAAGTTTAAGCTATTTCCACTGCCAATTCCCTCAGTGGATAAGGGAACAGAAATGAGTAAAGATATTGATCTTAAATTTATCAGTTAGGAATATGAAAATGCTTTTTCTAATGAATTCAATAATCACCTAGTAGGGGTGATACTATTATTCCACCCGGCCTTTGCCTTAGAGATGGAGGAGGCAGGTGTTTATATAATGCAAACCAACTTGTGATAAGTAATTGGTAGGTGTTTAAAGTGGGAAAATGTGGGAAAGAGGAGCGGGTGACTAAGTCTTGGTGGAGGACCGCTTTAGAGAAGTGACATTTGAGAAGATCTTTTAAAAATAAAGAGTTTGCCTGATGGAGAATGAGAGAAAGGCATTTCAGGTAGAATGAACTGCTCGAACAAAAGCATGGTGGTTTGATGGAAGATGGATGAATCATCCTGTGGGTTGGTGGGTGGTTTTA